GTATTCGAAAAAAAGAGAAGAAAATTATTACAGCATCCTCCTGATAAGTGTTAAAGTGTATAAAAACATTGACATTGATTTTAAGTTTAATTTTGACATGTATTATAGAATGTAAAATCATCAGAACCGCCAGAATTAAGGGTACGATTAATTGCAGGAATGTTTTTTTGGACAGAAATACTGTTACATTTATTGTTGATATTAAAACTTTGATGATAAAATATAAATTTTATTATAGCATGATATAATCATTATTTAATAAAATGATTAGTTATCATTTATCAAAAAGATATCGTAGAAATTATAGAAACAATAATAAAACTTTTAAGAAATCCTCTTAGGATATTTATATATTTATTAAATGTGATACTTAAGAAAAAAATTAAAGAAAAGTTCAAAAAGATTTTAATATTACGAAATCTTGAAAATCAATCTTTATTAATTTACCGACAGAATTGTTACTGAATCTAATCTAAATTTTTTCTCAAAATTACGTTTATATTTAGCTTTAAAAGCTAACTTTTAATATAGCTTCATTAGTTTGAGTTAAAGTAAAAATGTTATGAACAATTTTTTTAAATAATTTTTATGTAGTATTAGGCATGTAAAATACATTATTGATAAAAGCACAATATTAATAAAATAATTTCTGATTCTCGTAATTATAATTTGACTTTATATCTGATTTATATAAATTATAGATATAAATTTTTTATGATATGGTAAAATACACATTAAATATGGTAATATTTAAAATATTAAAGAAATCTAAATTAATAAATTCTTTCTAGTTTTAATAGTTTCTTCAAAAACATTTCTATAGTAGACAATAAAATGAATATAAAACGTGTAGGAAAAAAATAAGATATTTTTATCGTCATTTTATATTTTATAACTTTTAAAAAAACAATAAATAAATAACAAATAAAAAATAATACAGTCCGTATTTACTTAAAGAGACATCCGATAGATGGCAGAACAAATATCATACAGAAATCCACTTATGTTCGAAATGGACTTGAGAGAATCCTATTTTATCATCTTCGAAAAAAATATCAAAAATCTTTTAAAATTATTTAATTTTTAAACAAATTAGACAAAAGAAAGAAGATTTTTATACAATTTTATAGCAAATTTAAATTTTCTTAAAATAATTTTGCAAAATTTGTTTTATATATTTAGAAATCATACTTATAACATTGTTATTATTAAGAAGTTATTAATAAGAAAATTATATCAATTATATCAATTTTGCTATGCAAGTTATATTTCTTTTCTAGCAATACATAAATTACCTCAAAAATATAATTAATTTTATTAATGCATTTCATATTTAAATATCATATTTTATATATAATTGTTCCCCAAATATTTTACTATTATATCAAGTATCAATTTTTCATCGAGAATTAGTTAAACGCATCGCCAAATTGAAATTGTTTGAAGCAATTGAATCTGACCTTATTACAAAAATAAAGTATTGATGGACTACCTGATCAAAAATCGAATCGATCGAGAATGAATAAGCCAAATCACTTCTTCGTTTAAATTGTAGAAGATACATCAATGAGGATACATTTGTCATTCGAACATGTCAACAAAAGTATCAGAAACTTTCTTTTCGTGGCGCAGTTTGATTTCGGCGTGGCGCCTAGCCATATAATTAATTTACTTTCTTACAAGAGCACAAAGAAATCAATTATGACAGATTATAAATTGATGCGTGGTTCGCTTGCGTTCTATTTAGATAGGCACTTTCTTCTTCTTGCATAGATGTGTGTCCTTTTGGAATTAATATAGTACATCGTGCTTTCACTTCCCTATTCTTCTTTATAAGTTCTCCGAATTTCCTATTTTAATTTATAATTTTATTTGTATGAGTAAATAAAAAATCTGCTTTTGCAAAAATTGCTTCAATAAAATAAGTTAGATAACTAATATTTTCGCAGAAAGTTGATTAAGTCAATAAATTAGATAGCCGATTGAAATATTTGACGTTTATATAAGTAATATTCAAGAAACACTTTTAATCATTCCGAACGTTTGCAACGTTTCAAACAAGATTAAAATTGAGTTTCATCTTTAAAATGTTGCAAGTTTTAAATAAATAAGTTTTTCCTTAAAAATTCAACGCACGTATAAATATTTTCCTAACAATGAAAATTAAAGTTTTCAAATATAAACACAAAATTTTAAAATAGTTGATTAAACAATACTTATATGAATAATAACATAAATGATACTTTATATTTAAGCGATATTTCGAATTTAAAGTAACTATTCATTATTATTAATAATTACCTTATGTAATAATTATTACATAATTATGTAATAATAATTAATTATTAAAAATATTATTATTATTAAAATATTATTATTTATAATTTAAAAAATATTTTATAAATATTATCACCATCCAATCCTTCTAATAATTATCTTTACCTTGGGTTATTTACAACAATGTAAGATTTCAGGGTAATCTTAATATTGAAAGAAAGGATCTTTTTGCTACAGAACAAAAATTTCCCATAAATTACTATAATTTATGACTTTTGCAAATGATATTCGCAAACATAAACTTTTGAAATATTACAGAAATTTAAGAGCCACCAAATTATAAAGTGAAGTTTCTTTTTATATCTATTTCTTTTGATTCTCTTAAGAAAATCTTCGTATGTAAACAAGCATATACATTCCAATTATCTGTCATATTCATCAATTATCTATTACACATAGTTACATTAATTTCTTTTCTTCATATCAAGAGAGTTTTAATAAATATGATTAAATATCTTATATTTTTATCTAATATTAACTTTGCTAATATTTCTCGTGTTTTTTTTTTTTCATTCCTTTACATTTATACAAAACAACGTTCGCAGAAAGTAAGTTGCTGTCGTGAGCGTGCTATTTGACATCGAAACTTCAATGATTATTCCGCGATCTGCATGCAGAATAGCGGCCAAATCGGGTTGGAGTTGGCTTGTTTATGCGATAGCCGTGAAAAAATTCTGTTCGCGTTCGTTTGTTGCGATATTTGCTTCTTTTTCTTGCCCGTCGATTTGATTTTTCGAGTTTGAGGCTGCGTGAAATCTCTACATTGTTCGCGCCGGCCTAGCGCCTTCGACAGAGAAGCGACCAGTTTCGAAAGAGCAATACGAAGAAAAGGGATTTGCGATTTTCACGGCCATCGAGAGAGGCGACTGGTCTCTGATTTCTTTCGTGCGACACGGAGACAGAGCGAAAACGAGCGATAGGGCACGGATCGTGTAGAAGGCAATAGCAGCAGGGTGCCACGGCATTCTTGCCTACAGCACTTTATGCTGTAGGAGTCCGTGTCTTTACTTTCACTGCTCGCGGTCTGATCTAAGACACGTTGTCCCTTGTGGCGACATCTTTTCGCATCTTGAAGGGCCGTCGAAGCGACCTAACATGCTCGCGAATCCAGGATGGAAGAAAAACGATCGTGTAATTCGCCGATATCGATCAGCTAGACGCGATAACGCGATCTCTTTCGAATGCAGTCCGTCTATTTCGATCACCGATCGGACAATACCTTTACCGTTCCATCGACGGCAAGACCATCCATTGGAATTTGAATTTACATCGTGCTGGGCGAAGACGAGCCACGGATTCCAGCGTGGCATAAATTTCGCGAAATGTGTGTGTGTGCGGCGCCGGCAATCGAGATATTGACAAAGAGAGAGGGAGAAACATTGAAAAAGAATAACACACGTAGGGAAATGTGGGTATGCGACGACCATCTTCTAAACCACGGATGAAAGGGAAAGGAAGAATCAAATGAAATCTGCATGCCTCCGCCTTCTCGAAATTCTTGATAAAAAAACTCCTTGGCCAAGTGAAGATAAGAGAAAGAAAATGATCGATATTAAATTAATCGTCTTAGATTTTGTAGAAAAAAAACTAATTTTACACAAATATGGCAGCCCCTTTTTTAGAAATTTCACAGTAAGTATTTATTATTTTATTATGAGTAATATTCAACATATTTCCAAGTAAAACGTTTTTACATAAATTTACATAATTCCATACGTTTAAATATACGATATTTTATTGTTATTGTTTTTAACATATATGTTATGTCACAGCATATTATATTGAGTTAAATAACGAAATTTAAAATCGTTAATTTCAATTATCGCTGCGTTAATTTCAATTGAAAATAACACTTATGGCACTTTGGGAAAAATAACCAGTTTATTATCCAGGATTGTGGAATATTTATTCAAGATTCACCGTGCGTTGTGTATGTACGTTTGCGAAATAAAATAATACCAACGAAAATATCGTCGCGTCAATTTATCGAGCAGTGAGCATCGTCGTCGTCGGCGTATATGGCAAATGTTCTGCAATCGAAATGCAAAAAGGTGCGCCATTATCTAAAACCGCAAATGCTGCTTGACAGAATTCAATACACTTCAGCATTAAAATATTTATTATATAAAATGGAAATAGCTACATCCAAAGTTTGTAATCATTTTAAAGCGATGAATTTTTAGCTTTTCTTCTTTTTCTTCATTTATTATTTTTTTCGTTATATTTCTTCTTTCTTGTATCTTTCTTCATTCAAAATTTTCCATTTTTCCTTTAATTATAATTCCATAATATAAATTTATACATCATATATGTAATGCATTTCTATCTAGTTTTTGATGATTGAGACTTTGATAAATAATAAAAACAAGCATAAGCCACAATAAAAACAATGCAATAAATACGTAAGGTAATCATTGCATTGTAACATAATTTTTTACGTTAATATAATTTTTTAAATACGTTAATAAATTATGTCATAACTCAGACTTGAGAGGGTTGTAAGCAGACGAGCAAAGCAAGGCGGGTAATCCGCCGGCTTTGTGCAAAACCTGGGATAAAAGCCCAGAATCGCATTGCACACATGTCACGTGACGTGAAGGGGTGAGTGTGCGCGTATCATTAAACATATATCGGAGTATCGCATTTACTATCGCGGACGGCTTCGGCACGGGTGGTTGCTGGCAGAGTGAGAGTGCCATATATATAGAGAGAAGGGGAAACTCGGCTCGGCACTCCAAAGTACACAGCCTCCGCGATTGCAGTGGTGTACTCTTTCTCGGTTTCCTTCCACCAGATTGTCGTCTGATATTCATTCCCTCGCGGGCCTCGCGCCAGTGGTAACAGTCGGCCACAGACGACGTGGTTTCCGCACATTCCGCAAAACCTCAGAAGGGCACGGCATCTGCAGAGGATCATCAGAATCCGCCCTGGGCCGCTGACACCATGAAACTTACGCTGTTCACGTGAGTACGCCGTCGACGACTCACGATTTTCACCGAGATTAATCGATTACCTCCAATACCAAAATGAAATCGATAATTCAAGGTCTTTATTTTAAATGCGACTTCCCCCATTCAAATGGGAACTTTTTATGTCATAGATCTATTTTATTTTCGTTATTAAGCTCCTTGATGACGAAATTGCAATTACATCTCACTGGTAGTGGCTACCACTTATGCAACGAATTTCTCTATTTTCTTACATTTGCTTTACAGTAAATGACAGGTCTTTCTCTTAAATATACGCGTCCAGAAAAATTAAAAAAAAATGTAAATAATTACTTATTATATAATTGCAATTAGCGCGAAGCATTTATATCGTTTGTAAAAATAAGCGAATCAAAGGAAGAAAGTTTTCACGATTTAATTCTTCATCTGCTGATTTCGACCGCAAACTATTCGTAGAGTATCGCCTTCGAGAGACAACCTGGGCAATTGGCAATTCCAAGGCCGATTAACACATTCGTGACTGAAAGGTACAACGTACGCTACCGGTCGTTTCAGATTTAATATCTGTCATCCTGTTACCTGTAATCAAAATTGTTGCGTTTGCCTGCGGAAATTGCGGCTGCCGGGCGTCAATAACTTTCGATCGCGGACGTGGATCGATTTGTGACGCTTAATAGCCAATACGTCCTGGATCAGTTTGGCGTATTGGTGTTTCCACACGGTTTGAAGACAATGCGTACCGGTTGCCGGACGATAAAACACGTGTCCCGCTTCTACAAGAAGTTATTCAATCACCGCGTTTTACAAACTGTCGGCTATTGATTACTTCACGCTGCGCTCCCCTTTCGACGACGATTTCGATTCGATTCATACTCAGGCGCGAACGCGCGGTTGCGAGCCGAGTATTAATAACGGGATGCAGAGAGATACGTTATGCAAACGAATGGCGGTAGCTGTTCGAAGTTCTTTCCTGGTTCTGACCAGGAAATTGATTAGAAAAGCCATAACAGCGAGAGTGAGAGCGCATAAGAGAGGGATTATTATTGAAGTCGATTAATAGACCACCATGTCCACTGTTACTTGAGCAGAAATTCGTATAAATACCACCGAGTATCACCGTTGCTTCTCCTTGACATTATACTAACGAGTAACGGTGATATGTTTTCGCTCCTGTATTACAAGTCGACGATAAAAAAAAAAACAGAGATATTTATTACTTACACCTTATGCTTCATCAAGGCAATAGAAATGCATCAGATATGTGGTGTATAAATTTATTGCAGAATTATAATCAAAGAAATGGAAAGCTTTGAATAAAAAATATAAGAAAGAAGAAACATAATGGAAAAAAAAGATAGATGAAAAAGGAAAAAACTAAAAATTTAATTTTAAAGAAAAAAAACATTCAAAAAAATTAAATATAATATCTTATAGTTTATGCAAAATATTATATTTAGTATACTTTAATAGAAATTACTGTCTTCATTTTTTTTTAAAGTTTAAATATTTTTTTATAAAAGAAGTTGTTCGTTAAACCTGACGATAACTATTTTAAAACGTGTATTATAGAAAATGATTATAGACATTCTCTTTTTAACAAATATAATAAATCTTTTTCATCAAACTGAAGAAAAAAAAATGTGTGTAAAAAGAAGAACTAAAAAGTGTCAAAGGACAATGGCGAGAGGAAGATGAGAGGTGTAAGAGACTTCTTATGCAGGACGGGAGCGATGCAAACCCACGCATTAATGCTAACAATGTCCTGCAGGCGGAATATAATGCGAATGTAATTGTTTCCTTCCAAGGCGAAGTTCTAGTAACTTTAGTGATCCTGTGTCGCGACAAGACATAATCAAATGGAGAATGAGTTACTTCACTCACTGAGATGTAAATCTAGATTTATGTACGTCAGAGGATATTATGCTAACACGAAAATATATTCCGCATTCGGACAGTTTCGCAGACCTGTATACGACAAGAATTATGTTTATTAATTACGCCGAGTGACTATTCTCGTTTACCGGTGAACCGGTTCGCTGATAAAAAGAAAAAGTAGATCGCAGATTCTACAAGCGGGTAAATCAATTGCATATATAACTTCTTCGGGCATAACTTCTTTTGCACTTTATTTTAGTTTTCTACTTCTGAATTAATTATCATCACTTCATATTCTCAATATTTTTTTTTAAAATACTTTCCTCGCCGGGAGAAAACTTTTATACTTTTGATATATTCAAAAACTTCTTTATTGATAATATTAATAGTAGTCATACAGCGTTTGTGTAACTTTATTAAAATCAACAATATCAGAAAAAGTGCAAAAAAGAAACAAGATCAATTTCAAGTGGCTATTAAATTATGATAGTTCTCATAAAAACCGCGATAACGATGTAACTAATGCCATCCCATTAACATTTATATTACGATGTAAAATAGATTTAATCCTTTTATGCCCATTAACGTCTACAGGTGCTTTGAAAATGTGTTCAACGTGTGCTGTTGGCATCTATAGGCGCCTAATTGTAAGTTGGGTCATTTGATGCTAATGGCGCTTGTACATACTGGATTAACATTGCTTGACATATGTTTTTAATTCAATTTAACGTTTCAACGCTTTCTATATACTCCTTATAGAATATGCGACGGAGCATTTCGCCATTCACAGCATCGGTTGCGATTGAACATCTGCCGTCTGCCACGCGCATCACGTATTAAAATCAGTGAAAGGATTAAACGTGTCATAGTAATTCTCTACGTCTCGTTAATAATCACGAATATCGATAAGTTAAGTTAGCTGCAAACATTGTTATAAATTAAATTACATATTTATTCTTATTCAGCACATCAAAGTTTTATCCAAATATTTTATCAAATTAAAATATATATATTTTAAAAAGTTCAGAATTATAAATGTAATAACAAATAATTATAATATCTTAAACTTTTAATTATTGTGCATATTGAAAATTAACAAATTAGCATTGCTTGCAATGCTTAATGTAATATTAATAAAAAAATATATTCGACACGTATGTCTTTTATTAATTTTTTTTATAAATACATATTTAATAAAATTAAATTAAATTAAAAATTAGTTAAACATACAATTTATTATTAAAAAAAAATCACCATTTACTTAAAGCAAAATTTTAAAAGCAAAAGCAAAACGAGAATATAGGCCCAAAAGAATAACAGAATTGAGATTATTAATCTTCGGCCGTTTGCACTTCAATTAAAATGTACGGATGTATTTTTCTTATCCCGTTAAACGTAGCATATGTCCTTACTAACGGTAAAAGCATGACTTCGCGCAATGAATAATGAGCAACGTTCCGTTCCATTTTGAAAAATTTAGGAGTCGAATTTTTATCCTCAGTGCGAATATTCATGTAGAATATTAATGAAATACCTAATGCATCCACAGGACAAGAATATTCATCGGAAACATGATTGTGGTATGCAGTTTGATAAATGAGACGCGTTATTTTCAATTAAAACTTTATTAACTTCGCATACAGAGAAGCTGCGGAACAATTTTTATTCTTCAGAGTGTCCTTTTAGCAAGAAGCTTGATCATTACTTGCGAATAAAGGACTTCTGTGTAATGACGTAATAGCAATTATAGCCAGAAGCATAAAGAAATTTGTGTCAAGAAACTGCAAAAGGCCAGCAGAGAAGAAGAAGCTCGAAATTATAAAAGTGAAGAGTAGTATCTAGCTTAAGACATTGAAATGCTAATATCTGCAAGATGTTTTTGTTGCTTTTGAAAATAAAATTATCATCCGGACAAATTATATTCCGAAAGATTAATTTATGTTAATATTATTGACTATGAAGATACGTTATCAATAATGGAATAATAATTATGCAAAATGCAATATTTGCATAATTATGCAAATATGATAATTATGTTGTTTCTTTAAATTTTTCTTAGAGAACATTTTATTCAATTTTATCCTTCTGACATTGTTTAATTTAGTACTATTATTAGACATATCAGACATGTTGAAATTCGCGAATGGGACTTAGGACGCAAGTATTCCTTGTCTCCTAAGATGTTAAAGCCTCCTTAAAGTTAACAAGGTGTTATTTGTTAACAAGGTTTGACGTCAAGGTAGACATAATACAGAATAATCTTGAGAAGAGAAATTCTGACATAATTAGACGGTACTATTTGATTAAAGGGAAATACACTGGGAATCTACTCGTGAATTCTGTATAAACAATGATTAAGTTTCGACAAGTTTGTCGTAATACATCTCAAAATAATATAAATATTTGATGGAGTATTACGCAAGCCTCTTTTCAATGTAAGCTTAGAAATTTTCTTCCAAATTATTTTAATATGAAATTATTGTTCCATAATTATATTATGTAATTAAATTAATTACGTAGGTAAATTCAACGATAAAAATAAGTTACTAATTTTTCCGTGACTATCTCGCAAAGAAATCGCGTACATCTTTACTTGATTGAACATCTTTACTTGGCTGAATGCGATTATGCACGTCCCACGTGACGAATGCTAATCTGTCTGTGTAAGCATAATTAATGACTGAAGAGGTAAATGAATAAATTACAAATGCAAATCAATTTTGTTAATAAATAATTATCACTCCGCACTTAATGAATTGAAGAAATAAAATTCTAATTATAATTGAAATTTCAAAAAGATTTAATTTGTATAGTTTTCGATTTCATCAATTCACACAAGTCGCAAATTATTTTCTAATATTGCGAAATACCGAGGCTTAGAAATTATTATTAAACCTGTTTAAATTTAAAGAAATACATTTTTCCAAATGGCAAAAACGATGTTGTTATCGATCCGGTTATCTCCAGATATCAGCGAGGTCGTCATCATTCTCGTTTCGATTCACGCGTTTGTGCAGTCAGTCCAGCGTGGGTATTCCCGTGGCGATGTACCGATCGAGATCACCAGGCTCGTCTCCCGCGAAATCGAAATTTCTCCCCCTTTCTTCTACCCGGGGGCTCCCGAGAGTTCGGCTGGTTTTCTTGACATTTGTGAGCCGCCTCACGTATGAATGTCCCGTCGTAACGGCGCGGCCAGGCCAATCCCGAGCGCCACGAGCGCGCGAGTTGCACGAGAGCCGTGCAGAGAAAGTGAGTCTCGTGTACGTGAATGTCACAGGTCAAAATCCACCTGGTGTACGCGGATCTACTACGAGCGAACGCGAACGCGAACGCGAATGCGAACACGCGAACGAGCAGGCGGCGCGCCGAGCGTACGTAATAATCGTTGCAGTGCACGTCGCCAGTAGGATCTTTCGTCCTCGGATTCCTTTTTCGATCCTGGCGAAAGTTGCGGTTGTCGGACAACTCGGCCTGCGTACTACGTCCTGCGCAAAATTCGCGTACAAATTTGCCCGACATTTCGATCTGTTTCCATTTTAAAAAAGAATTCGCGACTTATCGCCCTCTCGCAGATGAGAGCTCGAGAAGCAGGCGGAACGTAGAAAAGAAGAAATCCGTGTGTTTCTTGAAGAAAAACAACACTTTTGAAAGTCCAAGATCCAAAACAAAAATCAAAGAGAGTTGTAAAATAGAATAAATATTTTAATTGAATTAAATTCAATTTAAAACTTAGACGCGAAAAAGAAATTTTACTCTTCGATAAAAAGAGTCTTCGAAGTTCGTCTCTTTTAAAAATAATAAAAATCAAGAATTATATAAGAAATATTGCATTTAAATCGTAAAGAGCAACAGCTGCGTAATCTCGCGAGTCAGCTTTTGGTTCTCAGAGCAACACGCCGACTTGCATATTCCGCTATTTTCTAAATGCAACCTGTCAATTTAACCGCAGTAAACGCCATAAACTTGTTTCGTGACGGCGTTACGCTGCTACTTAAATAACATACTTTTTTAAGCTTAAATACGTCTATAAGCAGCGGCACAGATTGTCACGGTTTTTCACACAATCATTCAATGGCTTAACACTTTTCTTCTCGGTCAGAAAAATCATTTTCTAAAGACGGGGCTTGCGTATACGTTTACGTTTTGTAATCTGCAGCTGTCGCGTATCTAACACAAAACGGCACCGCTCTTCCGTAATTCTTTATGCTTATTGATCTATTTTACAATATTACGCGTATGTTATCTTCAATTCTTCCAATTTTTTTCTTAAAGAAATATAAATCTCGGCTATTCCATAAATAAACAGATGTATACAGAAATTGAAATATTATTCTATAATTATGTATTTCTTCTTCTTCTTCTATTAATGAGCATAATTTGGAAAATTTAATTTCAAAAGAATTATATAGTCATTACATACATATTCCGTCCGAAGAATAAATAAATCAAAACTAAACATTAATCAGAAAATGTAATGTGTGTGTAATCGTATTTTTGCAGAATATTAGCCCTTTGTATAATAGCCGTCTGCAGATCAGCCGAAGAGGAATATGATTACGTGGAGGAGGCAGCGCCCGTGACGCCGGCGCCAACAAAACCAGCAAGTGGTCGACTAGGAGGTCTTTTATCATCAAGAGGACGCGCAAATGTGCCAAATGTGTCAGGAAAAAAGAGAACATCGGTGAGATTGCAATCTTTTGTATTACGCAACATGTAACATTCTATCTATATTATTAACTTATAATTTATATAACTTGTATTATAACAATGCATACGAGGTAAATCATGAATATTGAAGAATAAATCTAATATTTTAATCGTAAAGTATACCAACTAATATTTTTCTTTTTCTTCTTTTTTTTCCCTCTTTTAGGCACAGTCAACGACGACGAAACCGGTAGAACAAGCGCCCGTAGAAGAAGACGAACTGGAAGGCGAAGACGCTTTTGATGAAAATCAGGAACACGAAGCGCCTACGACGACGACTGAATCTGCGAAGAAGCTTCGAAATAGCGGTGGCGTTAGACCTTTCAGGTAATTATTTATGTTGTAAAGTATAGATATTTATCCAGATATCTTTACAAATGCGTGTTTAATATAATTTCAGATCAAATGAGGATCTCCTAGCTGCCTTGAAAAGACGAAGAGCTCAGACAGGACCTAGTAGTCATTCACGTGAAACTGCCGCCACACATTCTCCGGTGGAACATACCACAGCCAAATCAAAGTAATGCAATATTTCAAAAACATATTATTCCGTAACTTCTATTGATTTCTTTTTCAAGAAAAAAATTAAAAAGTAACATAAAATTTTGTAAATTATTCCAAACGTCGTGTGCGTTGCATTCACGCAAAAATATTATATTATAATGTGTAATATATGTTTCCAGAGCTACCACAAACAGTCGTAGCAAGGTTACCACAGGTAACGAGGCGAAAACATCAGGACGCGAAGGTTCGGAGGAAGAGGTAAGACTGTTCAAGAAGAAGTCGAGGAGACGCAACGAGAGGAAGTCCAAGTGAAACCCAAAACCGAATTTCTTATTCGTAGGCGCACTTAAATCAATCGTCCAAATTCGTTAATGTAAAATTAGTTCTGAGCTTTGTTGTTTTTTTTTTTTTAAAAAAAAGACGCGCATAAATTAAATTTGATTCTATCAGTGCCCGAAAATAGTCGTTTTCTTCACACTAAAAGATCTTGTAAAACAAGTTTACCCGCTAAATTTTTACGCATGCCGTTGATTTAGAAGTTGCAGTTTTGATTTCCGTGTACGTGCATCTTTTATATATAATTAATAGTAAATAAAATTATAATTCATTTTGGATATGAATTATAAGAAGACACGTTCTTCTTGAAGAACAACAGTTTCATTTATTTCTTGCGGTGCGGTATTAAAAATATGATCGATGAAAGTGAGCGTATTGATTATTATATGACAAGTGTTAATCAAAAGGAACAAAATCTTTTCCTTATTAAGCTTTGATTGACGCGTGTAAGAGATGAAAAGAGATGATGGAAAAGTCATGTGTACATAGCAAAATACTGCCGTCCGTCAAGCACCTAAATCATTTATTATTATTGTATAAATGTAAATTAATGTCACAATAAAGTTTCTCTGGAAAGATATTTTAGGCTGTCTTTTAATTATTTTTGACATAAATTTTACAAAACAATTATTTAACGAATATGAACACAGTTACTATATTCTTTGAATATGAAGAAAATGAAACGTCTAAGCTCAATAAACAAATTTGTTCAAATTAAAATTATTAGTTCTATATAAAATTATATAGATGTTTTCTAGATGTAATCTTTTTACCATATATATAAAAAAAGTTTAAGCTAATTAAATTGATATTTAGCTATTAAATTGATAATTAAATTGAAAAGCAAAAAATATGATAACAACTTTTTAATTATAACATAAATGTAAAGTGCTATTGCAAATAAGAAAATTATTTTAATCCGTTTATATTTATACAAATTAATCATTATCTTAATCTTAATAATTTTTAATAAAACATTTATTATTATTTCATTTTTTAATAAAATATGATTATTACTTTGAAAACATGATAATCTGTAATTATAATATTAGACATATATATAACATTAGACTGTCAACTGTATGATATGTGCCTTTTCAATTAATTGTAATAGTAATAAATGGATTGTCAGGGTTGTTTTATTAAGAGATATATTTTCATAATTTTACAGTGTCTTATTGTTCATCAAAAGAAAAATATAATTGAAAGAGAATAAATTTTGCCAGATTAAGTAATCAGTTAATTTAGATAATATCTTAATTGTATATAAAAATTATGAATCAATTTTTTATGTACAAATGTGAAATCATATGTGCAGAAGTTTATTTATCATCATGAGAATAAAACATAACATTTCTCTTTCAACTTGTGATACAAATACTATAAATATATATTATATAATTAAAAATTGAAACAATTAAATATTTATATACAGTGTAATTTATTTTAATAATTAAATTTCTTATATTATTCCACAATTTTCTATTTGGAAACGAAAATCTGTAACCATTATGTAAAGCTGCAAAAACGTATTACTATTATTTTTGTTTCTTGTATATTTTTCATATTATTTTATCTTTTTAGAGCTCAAAAGTAAAAGAGCGATGATTCATTATTTAAAATTTAGACGATCTCGTAACGAGCATAATTCAATTACTGACTCATCCAATGGGCGCTGAACATCTAACTCTTCTCCATTATTGTCTCGTCACAATTCGCAAATGCTCGAGCCGTGTAAAAATAATGCACACGCATCCTCGCGGAATGTGCACACGGGAGAAAACGTCCTACGACGAACTTCGGAATGTTGGAGGCGTTCGGCGCGTGCACTCCCGCATTCCTACATTATGCGAACGTGGCACGAGAAGTGCCACATTACCTACCACTCCCGAAAACTCCGAAAGTTTGGTGCAACCGACCCACTTTATTGTCGATAAATAATCCAATCACGACTTCTTCACAACGCTCGTTTAATGCCTTTCACCCCCAACTGAAATGTCTCTTGCACGCCCAAACTCGCGATATGCAGAAATGTGTAGCGAGATACGATCGGAACGAAGCGCAATTTAAGCTTCAAAAAAAGCAAAGTAAGTGTATAAATAACTGACTTGTAACAATAGTAAATTCTGCATTGTTCATAAATGATAAATCCTTCGCGTGAAAGAGCATCCAGCGATTATTCATCGTTCAATATTGCACATTTCTATACGTATTGATTCTTGCGACACATTGACGATATAAATGGACACGACATAAATGGATTTTCGGCAGAGGATTTAAAAACTGGAAAACCACGATCGGCAGGTAGCAGATCACAATACAAATCTGCGACTGATCCAATCTAATCGAAACGTTGGCGTTTATATGAAATGACCTATAGGCGAGCATAATTTGTCTGCGAGCACGAGAGCGCTGAACTTTAAAGTTCATCGTCGATTCGACTTTATCGGATGGATAATTCGTAAAAGGGATTCGCGGTTTCAGCTGTCCTATGCAAATTTTGATCGACTGTAGATCATAAGATGAGAGGACCACGAAAGAATTCAAGAGAGAGTGTGTATAGAATGTTAGAAAACGAAAACAAACGAGAGAGAGAGAGAGAGAGAGAGAAGGTGGTCGCGACAGTGCTCATAAGAGCAAAGTGTACGACAGGCAAGAAAAGTGAGAGGAGGTGGCATCTGGTCGGCCTTGAGACCTTTACGAGGAACATTTCACTCACAAAGAACATCCTGAGTGTCCTGACACCAGGATGCCACGTTTTGGCCACGAACGACGAAAGGGAAGGTGAGAAAAAGAGAAAAAAGCGAAAGCACATTCATGGCTTGTGAGTAGAAGCACAGTCGCTATTCTTAGAAGTCAAGGAAGAAAAGAAAATGTCATGGATGGAATAAGATATTTTGACCTAAAAAAAAAACCTGCAGATTTCTGATAAAAAAGTTGACAAACCACATGGGATAACAGTAAATAATATAATTAATAATAATTTAATTCCTCAAGAAATAATTCCTTAATTTAAGAACGTTTACTTCGTTTAATTTTAAAGTAGATTTTAAGTTAAACTTCTTTCTAAAAAAATACAAAATTTTAATTGCAACATTTTTGCAGCTTAATCATATTTCGTTTTTTTTATCTGTAAGTCTTAATTCCAAAAGACTGGCAACATTGAAGACAAAAAGAGAGCTATAACATAATATAATATAATATATATATATAATATATA